TGGCTTTACCCCTTATGCCACAGTGCCAGCCCCATAAATAAATTTTATTTATAAGATATATTTTGGGGGCCTGTGGATGTGACACAGTAGGCAAAGCCTCTGCCTGCAATGCTGGCTTACCATATGGGTGCCAGTTCAAGTCCCAGCCGCTCCACTTCCAATCCAGCTCTCTGCTAATGCACTTGGGACAGCAGCACAAGATGGCCGATGTCCTTGGGCCCCTGTGCCCATGTGGGAGACCAGAGGAAGCACCTGGCTCCTGGCTTCTGATTGTCAAATTCTGGCCATTGCCGCCATTTGCAGAGTGAGCCAGCAGATGGAAGACTCTCTCACCCTCAGTCTCTCGCTCGCTCTCTTCCCGCTTCTCTCTGTGACTCTGCCTTTCAATAACGCAGACCTTCCATCCGACTGGAAGCCAGGAGCCTGGTTTGCTTCCGCCTGGCTCTAGCGGCCATTTTGAGAAGTTGTGGCGGGAAAATGTGTCCCTCCCCCTCTAGCACTTTGCCTTCCAAATAATATATATATCGTTGGAGGCTGTTGCTGAGTTGTAGTGGGCTAAGCCTTTGCCTGAAGTGTGGGCATGCCGAGTGGGCGCAGGTTTGAGTCCCAGCTGCTCCACTTGTGATCCAGCTCCCTGCTAAACCACCTGGGGCATCAGCACAAGATGGCCGATGTCCTTGGGGCCCTGCGCCCACGTGGGAGACCGGAAAGGGCTCTTGGCTTCCACCCAGATCCAGCAGCCATTTTGAGAACTCATTTAAAGATTTATTTGGGGGCTATGGCTGTGGCTGTGGTGTAGTAGACTAAGCCTCTGCCTGCAGTGCCGGCCACTCATGTGGGTACAGGTTCGAGTCCCGGCTGCTCCACTTGTGATCCAGCTCCCTGCTGTCCCTGGGACAGCAGCACAAGATGGCCGATATCCTTGGGCCCCTGCGGCCACGTGGGAGACCGGAAGAAGTCCCCAGCTCTGGCCATTGCTGCCATTTGCAAAGTGAGCCAGCAGATGGAAGATTTCTCTCTACGTCTCTCTTCTCCATCTCTCACTCTCTCTTCTCTCCCTCTCTCACTCTCTCTCACTGTCTCTCTGTAACTGGTTGTGATCAATTAGTTGTAAACACCACTGCACTTGGACCAGCCTCTCCCTCTCTCTAACTCTACCTCTCAAATAAAAAGACGGAGGATCTCTCTCACTCTCTTCCCTCCTCTCTTTAACTCTGACTTTGAATAACACAGATCTTCCATCCGGCCAGAAGCTGGTGGCCCCTCTCCCTCTGCACCCTACGTGCAGGCGGCACCTTAACCCGCTGTACCCCAAGAGCAGCCCCAGGCTTTGCTTTCAGAGGCTCAGCCACGGCCTTAGCAGATCAGAGCTGGGTTTCTGCTCAGTGCAAAAGCACCGCTGACTCAGGACGCCACGAAACGTGGAAAACAGACTTCCTGCTGTAGGCACCTCATAGGCCTCTGGGCTCTAGGCATCTGCAGGGACCCTTGAGGGACCCTTGAGTGCGCCTGGGTCTCGGTGCAGCCAGCAGCTGGCCCGGCCCAGGTGGTCAGACAGGAGCCCTGGACCTGGACGAGGGGCCGGCATCGTGGCCTGGTGAGCTAAGCCGCCGCCTGCAGGGCCGGCAGCCCACGCTGGAGCTCTGGGGCTGCGCCAGTGCGAGTCCTGGCCATTCTGGTTCCATCCGGCTCCCTGGTGGCGGAAGATGACCGAGTGCCTGGGCCCATGCATCCATGTGGGAGATCAGAAAGGGCTCCTGGCTTCCTGCTGGCTCTAGCGGCCATTTTGATAACTCGTGGCAGAAAAAATCAGTCCCTCCTCCCTCTCACTTTGCCTTATAAATAATTTTTTGTAAAGATTTATTGTTGGTGGCTGTGGCTGAGCCTCTGCCAGCAGTGCTGGCCTCACGTGGGTGCTGGTTCGAGTTCGGCTGCTCCACTTGTGATCCAGAACTCTGCTAATGCACTTGGGTCAGCAACACGAGATGGCCAATGTCTTTGGAGCCCTGCGCCCACGTGGCAGATCAGAGAAAGCTCCTGGCTTCTGCCATTTGCATAGTGAGCCCGCAGATGGAAACTATCAAGTCTCTCCCTCTGTAACTCTGCTTCACAAATAAGAAGATGGAAGATCTCTCTCACTCTCGCTTCCCACTTCTCTCTGTGACTCTGCCTTTCAATAACGCAGATCTTCCATCCAGCCGGAAGCCAGGAGCTTGGTTTGCTTCCGCCTGGCACTAGCGGCCATTTTGAGAACTTGTGGCGGGAAAATCTGTCCCTCCCCCTCTAGCACTCTGCCTTCCAAGTAAATAATTTTTTCTAAGGATTTAATGTTTGTGGCTGTTGCTGAGTCATGGTAGGCTAAGCCTCTGCCTGCAGTGTGGGTGTCCCAAGTGGGTGCAGGTTTGAGTCCCAGCCGCTCCACTTGTGATCCAGCTCCCGGCTAAAGCACGTGGGGCATCAGCACAAGATGGCCGATGGCCTCAGGGCCCTGCGCCCATGTGGGAGACCGGAAAGGGCTCCTGGCTTCCGCCTGGCTCTAGCGGCCATTTTGAGAATTCACAGCGGGGAAAAAAATCTCTCCCTGTCACTCTGTCTTTCAAATAAATAATTTTTTAAAAAGATTTCTTTATTTATTTGAAAGTCTGAGTTACACACAGAGAGAAGGAGAGAGAGAGGGAGAGGTCTTCCATCCGCTGGTTCACTCCCTGAATGGCTGTAATGGCTGGAGCTGTGCTGACCTAAAGCCAGGAGCTTTTGGGTCTTCCGCGCAGGTGCAGGGACCCAAGGACATGGGCCATCTTCTGCTGCTTTCCCAGGCCTTAGCAGAGAGCTGATCAGAAGTGGAGCATCCAGGACTGGAACCAGCGCCTATGTGGGATGCCTGCACTGCAGGCAGTAGCTTTTCCAGCTATGCTACAGTGTCAGCCCCATAAATAAAAGATTTATATTGTGGGTCTGTGGATGTGGCATAGTAGGCTAAGCTTCTGCGTGCAATGCCCGCCTGCCATATGGGCATAGGTTCAAGTCCTGGCCACTCCACTTCCAATCCAACTCTCTGCTAATGCACCTGGGATAGCAGCACAAGATGGCCAATGTCCTTGGGCCCCTGCACTCACGTGATCTTCCATCTGGCTGGAAGCCAGGAGCCTGGTTTGCTTCCGCCCGGCACTAGCGGCCATTTTGAGAACTTGTGGCGGGAAAATCTGTCTCTCCCCCTCTAGCACTCTGCCTTCCAAGTAAATAATTTTTTCTAAGGATTTAATGTTTGTGGCTGTTGCTGAGTCATGGTAGGCTAAGCCTCTGCCTGCAGTGTGGGTGTCCCAAGTGGGTGCAGGTTCGAGTCCCAGCTGCTCCACTTGTGATCCAGCTCCCTGCTATTGCACTGGGGACGGCAGCACAAGATGGCCGATGGCCTCAGGGCCCTTTGCCCACGTGGGAGACTGGAAAGGTCTCCTGGCTTCCGCCTGGCTCTAGCGGCCATTTTGAGAACTGGTGGAGGGAAAGTCTGTCTCTCTCTCTATCACTCTGCCTTTCAATGAATTGATTTTTTAAAAGATTTATGTATTTGAAAGTCTGAATTACACACAGAAGGAGAGGCAGAGAGAGAGGGGGGTGGTCTTCCATCTGCTAGTACAGAAAGCCAAGAGAAGTTCCAGAACTCTGGCTGGCTGGGCTGGAAGCCTGGGCCTTCTGTAGGCAGGGGCTCGCATTGCTCAGGGACTCCACCCCACCAGGCAGACGGCACCAGGACAGGTCGGCTTCCAAACGCATGCAGGTGGGCATTGCCGGCCGCGTGGCCAGCACCAGAATCGGGTGTCTTGTGGCTGAGGCCCAGATGGCTGATTGCCGCAGGGTATTTCCAGCGGCCGGTGGCTCCGGGACGTGTGCACAGGCACCTGCACTTGTGTTTCGGAGAAATCCCAATCCCTGGCAGGTTCTCTCTGCCAGTCAGGGGTGGCTGCTTAGCACTGGCTTCAGGGTGGATCCGGGAATCCAGGAAGCTTGGAGCGCAGAGCAGCCTATCCCTGCGGGTCAGACACTGGCACGCTGCAGGCGCCAGCCAGTCTCTCTACTTTTAGTTTTTATTCGTTTGAAAGGCAGAGTGACAGGGAGGGAGGAGAGATGGATATTTCATTTGCTCACCCCAACTGTAACGCCCAACTCACCCCCACCACCACCACCCAAAAAAAAAGGCCCCGTTAGCAGCATTTGATCAGAACTGTTGAGAGTGGGCACATGAATTAGAAGAATCAGCTACCCGTGTGAAACTTTTATATATTTACATATATATATTCATTTTACATATATTTTAATTTATAGCTCCCCAAATATTCAGATTGCTCCCAAGTGAATGGTTAATGTTTTTTAAAAGATTTATTTACCCATTTGAAAGGCAGAGTTGCAGAGAGAGAGGTCTTCCACCTGCTGGTTCGCTACCTGTGGCTGGGCCAGGCCAAAGCCAGAGCCAAGTTTTCCTCTGGGCCTCCCACCCAGGTGCAGGGCCCCAGCACTTGGGCCATCTCCTACTGCTTTCCCAGGCCACAGTAGAGAGCTGGATGGGAAGTGGAGCAGCCGGGACTAGAACTGGCACCCACTGGGATGCCGGCACTGCATGGCGGTGCTTTACCCACTATGCCACAGCGCCGGCCCCCGCTCTAGTTCTGATCCACCCTCTGCTGATGCCCCTGGGAGGCAGTGGGGAATGGCCCAAGTACCTGGGCCCCTGCCGCCCGTGTGTGGGAGACTCGGGAGGAATTCCAGACTCCTGGCCTTGGCCTGGCCCAGCTCTGGCTGTGGTGGCCATTTGGGGAATGAATCAGCAGGTGGAAGATTCTCTCTGTCTCTTCCTCTCTAACTCCACCTTTCAAATAAATCTTAAAGTTTTTTTTCTTTCATTAAAAAGTCCTGTGTATCATAATATCACATCTGTGTGCGGGGAACAGTGAAGTTCCCTCCCTCACGGGCTGAAGACCAGGTATTCAACCACGCGCACTCCTCACCCATCATCGTCATCATTATTAAAGTGTCCTCTGGTTCATTTCTCACGATCACTTCATCCTCCATTACAGCCCGGGCCCCCGCCAGGAGCCGTGTCTCAGGCTTGAACTCCCCTAATAAAAATTCTAGCCGTTGTCATGGCAACCTGTGCAGCCGTTCAGGAAGTGGGGGCTGGGGTGGGGCTGGCGGCGGGAAAGACAGGTTGAGAAACGGCAGAAGGAAATGAAGGGCCCAGTGAAGAAGCAGGGGAGGACCAGGGTTCAATACCCGGCTCCGGCTCCTGACCCCAGCGTCCTGCTGATGCCGGCTCCGGGAGGCAGAGTGACAGCTCAAGTGGTGGGGTGAACCAATGAGTGGGAGCCCCCTCTGTTCCTCTGCAATAAATATTGTAAAGCATATTTTTATTCCTGGCACACCTCACCTCTGATCCCCACAACATCCGTGCTAGAGGTATGTGGCTTGCCGGTAGGGACTAAGAATGAGGGAGATGGTCGCTGGTCACGGGACCCGATTCTGTGAGGGGAAACTGGCTGCCTCCTCGGAAGCTGGAGGCTGGCTCCTCCTCCTATGGACTTGTGCCTTGTACGTGGATGGGATGCAGGGAGCTGTGGCAGCCATCTTGCACCCATGAGGTGTGAGTATGACAATCAAAGAATCTGTCCATCTGCATCTCCTGGACCCACCACGGGGAAGCTGACCCGGTGAATCTGTGCCTAGAGAGAGGCAGCCCACGGTGTGGGTGGATGTTAGACCTGCAAGATCGTCACAAATGCAGGCCTTTCTGTGTCTCCAGAGCTACACGTCATAAAGGCTGGGTACATGGATGATAAGGGGACAATGGACCTTTCTCACACTGTTAGAACACGTTTTAAAAGATTTATTTATTTATTTGAAAGTCAGAGTTACACAGAGAGGAGAGGCAGAGAGAGAGAGGTCTTCCATCCACTGGTTCACTCCCAAGATGGCTGCGAAGCCCAGAGCTGTGCCGATCCGAAGCCAGGAGCTTTTTCCGGGTGTCTTTATTTTTCTTACTTAAATAAAATTTCCCTTATGTCACCATCGTGTCCATGGACACTGTAAGGCTGCCACAAAAACACCAAACACCAGAGCATGGAAAGGGTTTATTGGGGGGAACCCAACAGACCGGAGGGAAGGGGCGAAGGCAAAGAACGAGGAGAGAGCAAGCCATGTGCTCAGGAACAGGTCCTCTTAAACCTTCAGGGTGGGGGGCAGGAGGGAAGTAGGAGCAGCGAATCCCATTAGGATGGCAGTGGTTGGGCCATGTGGTCACAGGAACCCAGCTTTCCTGCGACAGTGGCAAGCGCAGGCACATCACAGCTCAACCACCCGCACTGCCCAGCTGTGTCAACTTCCTTCGCCCCACGCTGGTCTCCACCGCTCGCATTCAGCCACTGCACAGGCACCATCATCCCAGTAGGTCCCAGCAGCTCCACTTCCACTCGGCTCCCTGCTGGCAACACCTGGGGGAGCAGCAGGTGACAGCCCCAGTGCTTGGGCCCCTGCCACCCACGTGGGAGACCCGGAAGCAGCTCCTGGCTTCTGGCTGTGGCCTGGCCCAGCCCTGGCTGTTGGGGAGTGAACCACCAGATGAAAGACCTCTCAGTCTTACAAATAAATGGGAAAATAATTTTTTTTTTAAAGATAAAAAGGAAGGTGGCTTTGAGAAAACACAGAGAAGAGTCTGCACACGCGGTTGTGGCATCTTAAACACACACACAGGACAGGGTCAGAACGCAACACCCCTCAGGAGTGGAATTCTAGGTGTGGAACGAAAATCTCCAAAACCATAACATTCTACACCTCTCCTCCTGGCCAGAGATTTTCAATTCTTAAAGTTCCGTAGCCCGCAGACCCCCAGAGCCTGCATAAGAGACCATGGAAAGAATGAAGCGATTAGCAGAGACTAGGGAGGGCCCATGCATAAGAAAGACTGAGACGGGAGGATCTCACCGAAACTCCTGCGGGCCCTACCCGAGGCAAAGGAGGGCCCGGCCCTGTTGTGCTGGTACCTGACTCCAGTTCCAGCCCGGAGCCCCGCCACACCCTGGTACACGTGTCTCTTCCTCCACCCGTGATTTCCAGCCGCCATTCTGTTTTCCCAAGTGTTAGGTGGGGCTGGCAGTGGACAAGGAGTGAATGGGGGCCCCGCACTGTGGCGCTGTGGGTTACTCCGCCGCCTGCGACATCAGCATCCTACAAAGGCGCCGGTTCAAATCCCGGCTGCTCTGCTTTCGATCCAGCTCCCTGCGAATGCGCCTGGGAAGGCGGCAGAGCTTGGGCATCTAGTGTGGGACACCGGTGTCCCAGGCAGCTGCCTAACCCCCAACCCCAGCCCCAAGTGAAGCCATCTTGATCCTGACACCTGCCCTATCCCTTTCACCGTGCAGCTTGACCTGTCAGTGGACCAGAAGAACTCAAGTCACACCGGCACACCAGCGGTTCTTTTCCAGTTAAAAAGCAAAGCGTTAGGTGTTAATTACGTCCCTGGGCTGTATACCTTCCCTTTTGTGTAGGCTCCGGGTTAAACCAAGTACATAGTTTTGAGAGCAAAACTTGATCACTGCTAAGCATTAGAGCCAGGAAGGAGGGGTCCTACAGTTCCCCGAGGTGGAGGGAGCTGGTTCCAGGAGGCCTCCCCCCCCCCCCAGCTACCAGCACCCACCGAGGCTCCAGTCCCTTTGCAGAGTGGGGCTGTGTCCGGCAACAGGGAACAATGGACCGGAACCGCTCAGGCTTTTTGCAGACATTTTTGACCCATAGGCAACTGAATTCCAGGGTGCAGCATCTGAATGATGGAGGAGGAATTTAATTTTAATGGAGAAGCAAAGCTTTGGAAAGTCAATGACCTTTTTTAAAAGTCAATAGGGTTGGAACACAAGCCTAGCCCCGACTCTGGTTGGCCCCTGCAGGCGTCTAAGTGTGTGTAATCTGACATTTCCTGGTGACTTCAAAAGAAGCTTAAACATTTCTGACGACCCCTAAAGCCACAGCAGGCCCTCAACAGAGTGCCCTTGGGGCCTGGATGTGCATACAACCGTAGTTCTACACGGGGGTGCACTCTGGCCTCTGAAGAGGGAGCTAAATTGACACCGAGGGTTCCCGTCCTTAGCTTCTCACCTACCAGGCTGGCCCTGCCCCATCCCCTGCCTTTGATGAGCCTCGTGTGCTGGCCGCCTTTGTCCCCGGGAGCTTGGCAAGGGTGCAGACTCGGTGGGCCCGGCTCCCTTCGGTGCCCAAGCTCCTGTGCTCACCCCTGGCATAGCCACTCCACCCTGGGTGTCTGCAGGAGGCGATGGGACACTCCTCCCCACCCTTAGCTTGGTTTTCACATAAGGATTGAGAGTAAGCACAGGTGGCCAGCTGCAGGGTGTGGTGGGTGGAGCTGGGAGGAATCCCTCTGGGCTGGTGCTGGGGCCGCCCTGGACCCTGAGTGTATAAATGAGCTGGCGGGGCCCTAACCGTCCTCTTTGCCCCTGCGTCGGGCATTGGTGCTCGTCGGAAGCTTGGTGGTGAGTATCTGCCTTCTGCAGACTTCTCCCTGTGCCCTTCTGCCCTATGCCAGCTCCTTCATATGCCTGCGTCTTTTCTTGGGACATATGAGGGCAGAAAGGTCTTCCATCTGCTGGTTCACTCTCTGAATGGCTACAGTGGCCCGAGCTGTGCCGGTCTGGAGCCAGGAGTTTCAGGGTCTCCCACGCGGGTGCAGGGGCCCAAGCACTCGGGCCGTCTTCTGTTGCTTTCCCAGGTGGCATTAGCAGGGAGCCACATCAGAAGTGGAGCAGCCGGGACTCAAACCGGTCAGTGCCCATATGGGATGCCCTGTGAGTTCTTTGCCTCCAATATCCTGGCAAGCTCCAGCTCACAAGGCCCTGGTCTGTGCTCCACCATGGCTCTGCCCGCACTAGCACAGGGTGGGGTGGCCGCCTGCTCCCGCTATGTGGCTGTGGCATCTCTGGATTTTTCCCTATCTTGCTCTTCACCAGGGCTCATTCTGCTGTCCGGCGCTTAGGCTAACGCGTGGACTCCCTATGCTATTGTGCTGGGGGCTGGAAACCCGGGTCTTGGTGCCTGACCGCTAATCATTTCTAGATCCCTTGAGCGCTGTCTAAAGACTGGTTTATGAAATGCAGAGTGATAAAGGGGTTTCCCATTGGCCAGTTCACTCCCCGAATTGCTAGGACAGGGTAAAGCCAGGAGCATCGAATTCCATCCAGGTCTCCCACATAGGATATCAAGGGCCAAGCACCTGGGCCGTCCTCTGAAGCCTGTCCAGGCACATTAGCATGGAGCAGCTCAAAGACGGGACCCTTGTGGCGCTGTGGCGTAGTGGGTAAATCCGTCACCCGCAGTGCCAGCTGGTTCAAAGTCCCGGCTGCTCACTTCCAATCCAGCTCTCTGCTAATGTGCCTAGAAAGTAGTGGAAGACGGTCCAAGTGTTTGGGCCTCTGCACAGGAGACCCAGAAAAAGGTCCTGGCTCCTGGCTTCAGATCAGCTCAGGCCATCTGGGGAGTGAACCAGCGATGGAAGACCTCACTCTGCCTCTCCGTAACTTAAGTCTTAAAGGGTTCTATTTTTCTTAACCAAAGTTAATATTAAATGTTTTTATATAGATATTATACATTAACAGTTTTTTTCTTAAACAGGTATACTGGTCACAATGAATCTTGAAAAATGTGTAAGGTAGGCGAAGAAGGGTACATTGTCATTTACATGGTAAAATTCAGTGAAGGAATCATCCCAAGTATGCCCACGCGGCTTTGGTCGTCTATACATTTCCGTGATAAATAAGAGGAAGCATGGGATATTTTCAGGTCGGACTTAATTCATTTGCATAATGAGTTCCAGATGGTGTCAGTTTCATTAACGCTAATTTCTTTACTACTTAAAGCAATCTGGACCTAAATAAACCCAAATTTCCTTTCCTGGGAAGTCAAGCATATGATCCCTCACACTGGAGACGGCACAGGCATTGTGTTAGAGGCGGATGTGGGGGAGCAGGGTTGACTTCAGGGAGTGGTGGTGGGCACGGCCAGGTGGGCTGGGTTCTGCAGGCTCCCTGGGGGCTGGGCCCTCACCCGGCAACACTCAGAATCACTACTGTATGGACATCCTGCAGCTTCTAGGTGGCCGGACCACGAGGAGGAAGGGGAGCCCGATCCGCGGGACTCAGCCCTGGGGGCACTTCCTGTTGTCAGGCCTGGAAGTGCCGTCAAGGTTGAGCTTCGCTGACCGAGGAGGACGTCAGGGTCAGTTAAGGTCACCTCCAGGTCACCTCTTGCCTGGTGAAGTGTCCCCAGCCGTTACTGCAGGTGGTGAGACTACACTAGGTGATTGGTGGCCCTGGGCAATGCTTCAAGTCCACTCTGTGTGGCCAGGTCCTCATGCAGGGGATGAGGAGCCACCTCTCAAGGTTGCCTCATGGATTTTATCCAGGTCTTTGTATACTTTGTGTTTGTAATAGCTGTTGGCTTCAGTGCTGTGTCTGTTGCTATATATGTGTATATATATATTTTTAAAGAAGATGTATTTATCGAGGTCAGTCAAGGTCACCTCCAGGTCACCTCTTGCCTGGTGAAGTGTCCCCAGCCGTCACTGCAGGTGGTGAGACTACACTAGGTGATTGGTGGCCCTGGGCAATGCTTCAAGTTCCAGAGCGCGTGCACTGTGCAAGCTGGGGGCTCCAGCTTCGTCCTTGGGCTGTAGCTGATTGAAGTGCTGGGAGAGAAAGGACACGGGATGGGACGGACTTGCTAGCGGTTCTGTTCCTAGACCCTGGGAGGTTTAGCTGTGTTTAGCCAATAAATTCCCAGCAGCTCCAGCATAAGATGTATTAAAGGCAGACATAGAGTGAGATTTTCCATGTGCCGGCTCAGTCCCCAGTTGGCCCCAGTAGAAGTGGGAAAGAGATGGCAGCTTTAGCACCTCCCCTAAGAAGCATTCTTTATGCAGAAATGGTTGAAAGTCGAGAGACAGATCCTCCGACTGATGGTTTGCACCCCCAGATAGCCACAAGAACCAGCACTGGCCCAGACCAGAGCCAGGAGTTTCCGGGGTATCCCGTGTGCGGGGCAGGTTTTCCCAGCCACCAGCAGGGAGCTGTGTTGGAAGTGGAGCAGCCAGGACACAAACCTCTGGCTATGCGGGATGCCGGTGCCGCACCACACTGCCATCCTTTTGTAAAGGCTTACCGGCTTTACAAGGATGCCCTAGGTCCCCTCCCTTGTCTTCAGCCGTGTTTCTGGGTGCACCTCCCTGACGGATAGCCGTCCTTCAGCCATACTCAGCTTTGCCAGTCCTAATTCTTAGTCTGTTCCAGGGTGTGGGCAGGGCTGCTGTGCCGTGCAGGGGGCAGGGGGTTATGGCCAGCTCCCTAGCAGGAAGGACACATTATGGTTTGCCTTAGGGAGTAAGGCAGCAAGACCAGTGTGCAACTTAATGTTGTAAAATTGTAAGGCAAATTGTGCTTTGATTGCCCCGTAGCTATTTCCCATGGAGAGGGAGGACTGGCCAGGTAAGGGTCCTGGCTGTGTCTCTTGGTGTTTGCTTCATGCTTCAAAAAAGATTTGTTTATGAGTACAACAGCCAGGGCTGGGCCAGGCTGAAGCCAGTATCCAGGAACAGTTCAGTCTCCCGTAGGGGTGGCAGGGTCCCAAGCCCCTGAGCCTTCACGCCTTGCCTCCTAGGATGCTGGTGCAGGAGCCCCGGGGGCAGCTTAGCCCTCCGCATCCAGTGCCCGCCCACTTTGTGGCTTTAGATCCAGCAGCTCTATGGGACGGCACTGGCAGGTTTCTCCCAGGGAAGCAGTTCCCGGTGTTGGGTTGCACTGAGCCCCAAGCTGGCAGGAAGATGTGCTCGTGGTTGTCCAGGAGCACAAGTGGGGTGTCATGGGGCAGTAGCCCCCAACTCCAGGGCTGGAGTCTGAGTGTGGATTCTGGGAGCCAAGCATGTTGGGGTGGGTGAGTTGAGTGTGGCTCTCATTTGAGTTTTGAGATTGCCACTGAGAGCCGGGTTCTTGGGAGGGAGCTGCACCTCACAGGAGGATGCCAACAGTAAGGTCAGAAGGCAAACTGGGGACCTGAGTATATGTCCCCAAGCTGAACATGCCAGTGCAGTCGGGGCAGCCAGCGGCCTTGGCCATCTAACCATGCATCTTCGACATTTTTATTTAACAGAAGAACTACGAGAACATACAGATGCACGCCTGGCTGGCTCTGGGTGCGTCTAGACCACTTCCACTTAAGCCAGATTCTTGTGGACCTGCAGTTGGCGATGCCGACTGAAGCTACGTCAACAGCCTTGCTAGTGACCTGCTAGTTATCGGGTGTCTCCATTCAGGTGAGGAGGGAACCTCGCAGGGGGAGGCCTTGAAGGTGGAAGAGGGAGGGCTGCTTGCTCCTTGGTTAGGTAGGAAAATGCTCACTTTATATATAATAGAAGATTCTTCTATTTGACAGGCAGGGATAGGGAGAGAAGAGACAGGTTTACCATGGTTCCTCCCCACATGAAGTCTCCATGAAGGGGCTGCCCAGCCCAGGATAGGAATTGGCCTGCCTGGGAGCAGTTCAGATACCCCAAAGCAGATTTTTAGCATTTGGACAGACATTCTGATAGCGTGTTCCTTAAAGAACATTCTGGAACAGGAACTGACTCTGTAGTTAAGCCGCCATAAGGAACTGGGTGAAATTGTGGGTTTGCTCTTTTGTTCATGAATTTGTACATTTTCCTGTTCTGAAATTGATAGGCGTTGTGTTTTAAAGATTGATTTATTTGAAAGGCAGTTAGAGGTCTTGCATCCAGTAGTTCACTCCCCAAATGCCTGCAGTGAGCTGGGCCACGCTGGAGCCAAGAGCTGCTTCTGAGTCTCCCGTGCAGGTGCAGGGGCCCAAGCACTTGGGCCATCTTCCGCTGCTTTCCCAGGTGCATTAGCAGGGAGCTGGCAGGACAGGGAGGAGGAATAAGAGCCCGATCCGCGGGACTCAGCCTTGGGGGCACTTCCTGTTGTCAGGCCTGGAAGTGCCGTCAAGGTTGAGCTTCGCTGACCGAGGAGGACGTCAAGGTCAGTCAAGGTCACCTCCAGGTCACCTCTTGCCTGGTGAAGTGTCCCCAGCCGTCACTGCAGGTGGTGAGACTACACTAGGTGATTGGTGGCCCTGGGCAATGCTTCAAGTTCCAGAGTGCGCGCACTGTGTAAGCTGGGGGCCACGGGATGGAAGTGTTCCGGCTTAGTCCTTGGGCTGTAGCCAGGACTCGAATTGGCGCCCATATGGGCTGCCGGCACAGCAGTCCGCGGTTTCCGCTGCTACGCCACTGTGCTGGCCCTGAAATGGTAGACATTGTCCGTTCTGTGTGGCCAGGTCCTCATGCAGGGGATGAGGAGCCACCTCTCAAGGTTGCCTCATGGATTTTATCCAGGTCTTTGTGTACTTTGTGTTTGTAATAGCTTCAGTGCTGTGTCTGTTGCTATATATGTGTATATATATATATATATTTTTTTTTTTAAAGAAGATGTATTTATCACTTAAAAGATCTCCATCCCCAGGTGGCTGAAACTGCCAGTGCTGGGCTGGGCAGGAGCTCCTTCCAGGTCTCCTGCGCAGATGGCAGAGTTCCAAATGCGCAGGCCATCCTCCTGGTTTTCCCAGACCGTTAGCAGGGAGCTGGATCGCAGACAGAGCAGCCGGAATACAACCTGGTACCCATATGGGTGCCAGTGTGCTGCAGGTGTGGGGTGTCTTCATTGTCAGTTTCCTAATTTCACTTGGTATGACTGGGCATTGGTAGGTAGCTAGCCAGAATCATTTTTAAAAATGTTATCTACAGGGGCCGGCACCGTGGCTCACTTGGCTAGTCTTCTGCCTACAGTGCCGGCATCCCATATGGGCACCGGGTTCTAGTCCCGGTTGCTCCTCTTCCAGTCCAGCTCTCTGCTGTGGCCCTCCCAGGAGGGCAGGGGAGGATGGTCCAAGTGCTTGGGCCCTGCACCCGCATGGGAGACCAGGAAGAAGCACCTGGCTCCTGGCTTCTGGTCGGCACAGAACCAGCCATAGTGGCCATTTCGGGAGTGAACCAACCAAAGGAAGATCTCTGTCTCTCTCACTGTCTATAACTACCTGTCAAATAAGTGAATGGCATAGAGACAGGTCTTTATCTGCTGGTTTACTCCCTAAATGTCCTCAACAGTCAGAGCTGGACCATACTGAAGCAGGATCCCCAGCCCTTGGCCTCTCTGGGTGCATTAGCAGGAAGTAGAGGTGCCTGGGACTTGAGCTTGAACTTCAACATGGCTGTGGGCCTCTGGGCAGCTACTGAAG